TAGGAATAATACAATCCCTACTCAAGTTATGGAAATCACGATTCCATAATTCAACATTACAGATATTATCGATTTGATAATAAAATCTTATGTTTGAGTTATCGACTAATTTGTACCATTAGACAAAGGCCAATACATGTTCTACCAGACCTTCTGAAAGATATATTATATGCTTGAAATAATATTGGATGAGGCTTGAAAATGTTTCAGTAGTATTGTCATCTAAAATAAATTTAGCGAGAATTTTGGCTGACTTAATGTGTCTCTTAGAGAAAGTTGCTCCAAATATTTTATCTCCAATTTTTATTCTTCCATAAATATCAACACTTGGCAAAACTGGTATGGAGCTCGAATTACTTGTATGAATATTGGCCAATGAAATGAAGTTATAACTATATGCATTATTATAATACTCTATTAACAATACTGATATTTCAATTGGAAGGATCTGCTTTATTTTAAAAGGACCTAATAATTCACCTAGAAAAGGTTTGGAGCCTGTACTCGACTTATTTTCAACATTTATGGATATTGAAAGGAACTCCCAGGAGGCATTTCTATCATAAACAGAAAGACTACCAGTTATTAGTTTTTTCTCAATGAACTGTAGACATGTTTTTAAGTGACCTTCTGCATGTGATGACAACTTATCCACTAATGAATAGGATTGAATGGTTTTTAGTAGTTCTTGTTCTATCCTTCTATTACTGCTATTTAAAGACCCTATTGAAAAAATGATAGAGAAATTAGCATTTTAATATGTCTATTAAACATATATATGGGTTCATTCACAGCAAAACCATGCTTAGAGTATATATTTTATATATACTCTAAGCATGATTTTGCTGTGAATGAACCCATATTATTAATGATAGTTTTATAAACCTTAAATATTACCTAATAAACCATTCATCCTTTCGTAACTAAAGCACCAAAAAGAATATAATGGCCCGTAGTCCAAAATGCATTCACAAATATGTAAACATAAGTGTAAATTAGGCGTTATTTTTTCTGGTCCATATTTATTCTCGATTAGTTTTACCATTTTAAGAAGACACTAGTGTGCTTCTTCCAAATTGACCTTAGAAACAATCTGACAAACCAAAATTGAACAAGCACAGACAAAATAGGTTACAATTTGTCTTTCGGGTTCATGTAACAAATCCCACATGATCGATATAGCATACACCAGAATGAATGTTTTCCACTAATCGGCTATAAACCTTGAAAATCCATCTCCTGTTGCGATTTTTGATATAATTCTGCTAATATCTGCTGGAACTTGTAATTTTTTAGCACGATCTTTTATTAGTGGAAGATCGTGCAACTTTATATGACCTTCTTCAATCTATAATTTGAAGATCCATTTTGCAATGCCTAAAAATAAGCAATGCATTGGATCTACAATAACGAACTGGACAGAATTAAAATATGAGAGGCAATATATTTCTGACCAACGGACTAAGGTTTCTGATATATGCTTTCATCTTGCATCTTCCGTATTACAACTTTTCCACGCGATGGCATCTTGACGAACTTCTTCGATATTTCTTTCAACAAACTATTCATTAATATCAGAAAACTTGCCAAAATTCAGTTGGTTCCTTTCATCAAAATTGGTCCGCTTTAAACACCTATAGCAAACAACTCTGGCTGAAATATGCCTATATAGTTTTCTTGCAGCTGGTATGTCGCAAGAATAGCAAATTACAGTAGCCCTAATCAATTTGCCAGTAGGGCATTCAGAAGTGCTTGTTAATTCAATTTCTAAATTATATGTTAATAAAAATAACGATATAAATATAATGATAATAAATTAGATATTAAAAATATTAATGATAATAATAACGATAATAATAACGATAATAATATGATAATAAATTTTTACTTACCATTCCACAAATCAACTAATTGATCTATTAATGGAGCCAAATAATGATTTAGTTGATGTAATTTGGGTTCGTTGGGTTTTGGTATTAATGCTAATGTTAAGATGTTTGATGGCTTAAATCATTCATCGCGTAGAAGGTTGCAAATTATGGCATAGATTGCTCCAACACTGTACTGAGAGTTATCGAATGGTTGGAACCAATCTAGATTTATCATTAGCCCCAAATTACTATTCGATAACTCTTCTCGGAAAAATGGTAAATCTTCATTTGGATCTTGAAAAGTCTTCTAGAATCTTCTGTCATATATATCAGTAAGACTTTTAGGATTATTAGGCCTTTTAACCCACTTGCGACATGATTCTTCAAACCCTTTCCAGTTGAACAGAGACTTTAATTGGTGCTCCAAAGAAACCATCGGAAAAATCAATGATGGTCTAAATATAACCCCTTTTGATATAGATATTTTTTTTGCAATTGGATAATTGCAAGGACATCTTTGATTGGCCATTGAGTGGTTTGGAAAGTCTTAGTAGGTACAATTAGTTATTTTAGGAGCCTCATTTGGTTTAGTAGACATATCGGCTATGTTATATAATTTGCAATATTGTTCACATGTTGCAAATTTTATCATATGAGGACAAATACCAAGAGCCCTGCATGCTAAATTTAATGACGAAGGGAAAGAGAAATATGTATTTTCGTCTTGAAGAACCAGAAGAATTTTACCAAAACATTAGTGGCTGTTTCGGGTAGCCTATATCTTTTCTGATACTTGAGAATCTATAGCAGAATCTACATAAAACCTTTATTAACGTCTATTGGTTCATCAGATTCTATTACTTCAGCCAAAAATTCTGGAATGTTGAAATCAATTTCTTGGTCAGTAAGTTCTTCATCTTCAACATCAATTAATTCATCTTTTTCATCAGAGAATAAATTCTCAACGTTAACAGGGATTTTGATCCTCCTTCCCCCACTTCTGATCGGTTTCTTTCCTTTTTTGAATTGTTCTTTAGTAATGAAACTGTATTCAACATCGCTATTAGAAATTACAGAATCATTATCCGAGAGGTCGATTTGAATTGATTCTTCAATGCTTGGTTCTGGGTTAATTTGCATTGATTCTTCAATGCTTGGTTCCAGAAGGTCGATGTCAGAAAAGTCTAATTCAGGAAGGTCCAATTCGGAAAAGTCTAACTCAGAAAGGGCCGTTGAACCAGTTGGCTTACTTGAAGATTCACCAATATTTCTTGTTACTACATTCTTTTTTAACATATGGGCTTTTCTTGTTTGAGGATCAACAGGATTACCTTTACAAAGATTGCAAAGGCAAGGTACGTGGTGACAGGTTAAGCCTTTAGGTTGATTAGATTTATTAATAGTTTTTTTAACGATTAATTTTTTTGATTTGTAACCTATTGTAAAAGAGACAAGTAAGAGAATATATGAGTGAGAGAATATATGATCGTGAGAATATGATAATAACAAGAAAAAAATGAAAAGAAAGTAAGCGTTATTTATATAAAATTTAAAATTTCAACTAACTTATTGGAATGTTAATATGCTAAAAGATTTTTTATACTTATTATCGGATATATTGTTATACATTTTTTTAACAATTTTATTTTTTTGTTTTGACGATTAGACTTTTTGTTTTGACAGTCTTATTGAAATGCTGATATG